TTCATCAGCCCTCCCCGTGTGGAAGGACGTTTAGGAGACTGGTTATAGCTATGAGGAGGAACTAGCTATTGAGCTGTTTTTGAAGATTGGGGAGCTGCAAGTGGCACCTGGTCCTAGCTCTGACTCAGGCATCCATCTCCTCAGACACTCATGGCTCTTTCTTTGGATTCTGACAGGTGGAGCCAGTGACGGTGGTTTCTCAGCCATTAAGCTCACTGCACTGGGGAGACCACAGTTTCTGGTAAGTGGTGGCACATTCAATCTGCAGAGGCTCTGCAGATCCTGGGGCTGCCATTGTGCACTGAGAGACTGCAGATGTGCTCAGGTCTGGGCAGCCTTGAGCTGGGGCTACAGAGGCTGTCCCAGGGCTAGATGGAGGAGCTGGGTGCACACTGCAGTGAGGCTCACATCTGCACTGGCAGCTGCAGTTCTCAGATGTGCTGACCAGGTGGAGACGGTTCTTCCATCAAATGGCTGCAGAGCAGGGACAGGCTGGGCGTGCCGCTGTAGACACGAAGCTGGAGGTGGCGGTACTCCAGGTGAGCGGCCCTTCCCCTTTCTCTGGCTGATGTGGGAAACAGCAAAGATGGAATAGAAATGGCCTGGAATGAGTCCTGCTGTCAGAGATGATATGATTCTGTCAAACGGGCTCGTGGTGAGGTGAATGCCAGTGGACAGTGAGAGATGACAGTACTGACACTTTCTCACGTCTCAAGGAGAGCATCGCAAAGATGGGCATCGCATCCAGGGCTGAGATCGAGGGGTGGTTCACACCAGAGACGCTGGGAGTGTCTGGGTAAGAGCTGACATGTACCCTGGTGTAGTCATGGTCTCAGCTGAGCCCCAGTGGCTTCTACTCCTGGTCATTTCCCAGGAAGGATGGTCCAAGGGAACATCAGTGTGCTTTCTCCAATTACTGAACAGAAACTGATAGCAAGCTGGGAGTCCCTGGGGAAAGGAGGCTGGACACAGGACTTCTCAGAAACCGACCTGGGTCCCAGAGCATCTTCCTAAGAGCCACACTGGCAGATGAAGATAGCACCCCATACCCCATCCTTAGGCCCAGAGGCTGGGACTGAAGTCACCAGTAGCCTCCAGTCAAGTCAGGATGTCGGCCTGAGGTAGAGCTGCTGGCTCTCAGATGACCTTAGCTAGCCCTGCACATTAGCTAGCTTCTCCAGCCTCCTGGAGAGATGACTGCATTCTGACAGCCCTGCATCTTTGGCTCTTCCTTAAGGCTGACCTGGCCATGGAACACTCTCTGCATACTTTGTGTTTTTATTGCTACTGACCCATTGCAAAAGTGGTCATGCTTTGGTTAACCCAGAGCAGCATTCAGTCTTAAAATCAAACATTAGGGTAGTTCATGAAGGCTGAGTTTTGGAACAGTCTTTTGAGGTATGGCTAGTGTGTTGAGAACCCTCACACACCCCAGTTCCTGTGGATAAAGTTGGGTGCTTGGACCCACAATTTCTGGCAGCCTGCTCTGCTGACGAATCTTATCCCTCAGCACTGTGGACTTGCTGGACTGGAACAGCCTCATTGACAGCAGGACCCAGCTCTCCAGGCACCTGGTGGTCCCCAATGTGCAGGTACATCCCCACCCCAATCCCATTGTCTGCCCACCTTGGGGACTCATTGTGACTGAGGCGCCATCCTTTCTGACTCCACCACAAAGAGAAACCCAGTGTCTACAGTGCTCAGTAGGGCAGGGATCCATGTGGACCTTTATGCATGAAGAGAATGGGTGTCTAGAGGGAGGGTCTTCCCCAGCCCACAGAGTCTTGTGTGTCGAGTCACCACCAGTCTTTAGGGCTGAACAGGGTCCAACTGGGTAGTGCTCATCTGGCGTCTCCTGGTCACTTGTGCTCAGAGAGTGGCAGGGCCAGGTGGTCATATGTGTTAAAGGTGACACTGGCTGTCATATGGGCTTTCTCTCTAACATGATGGCTGGATTCCCAAAGCAAGTGTCTCCTGGGATGAAGGCAGCTAGAGCCGCATCAGCTTTTGCAGCCTGCTCTCAGGAGTCAGTCAGGTTCAGTCTGGCAAAATGAGTTGCCAGTGTGGCCTGCACTCAGGGGAAAGAGGTTGCGTGGAACCCCACCACTCTAGATTATGAAGGAGAACAGAAATTGTAGCTGAGCAAAGTGTCCTGCAGATGTTTCTTCTGTGATGTTCCCAGCTCCCGAGACTGAGGGCCCACCTCAACTTTGAGCCACTGTCCTGGAACCCCAGGGTGCAGTGTGTTCATTAAATCACTGCTCCAAGGTCATCAACAGATTTTGGCCACTGGTGTTTGTGGTCAGTGAGGCAAGGCTCCTGGGATCAGTGCACTGATGGCTCCTTAGCATTGCAGGAACATCCTGGGCCCGGCTGCAGGCTGAGTGGGACCTCTGTGCTGCATGGGGCTTCCAGGTGCAGCCTGCCAATTTTCATCAACAGTACCCTGCTGATGATAAAACAGTCTACTGGCTCCTTGAAGGACATGTCCTGGTCCCATGCTGCCAGCTGGGTAGTACCCCATAGCCATGGCTCCTCCTAAGCCTTTACTATTCCAAGTGGTGCCTGGTTGGTTGGGGGTCTAGGTTCCCTTCCTTTGCCTTTCTTTGCATGGCTCCCTACAATGGTAAAACTCTCAGGGTCCTAGGGAGGCCATGTAAGTAAATCCCTGGTGGCACAGACCTGGTGCTGCTTATATGGGGTAGCTTTCCTCACATGTAGGACAGAGAGCTGGCTGGCACTCAGTTTGGGGCATCTTGTCATTGTATCTAACTTGTTTAAGGCAAGGAAGTCAGAAGTGTCCTCTCTGGACCATGGTGGGCAGGAGGGTGGACAGAAGGCAGCATTCCTGAATGGTAATGCTTGCCTCAAGGTGAAGTGTTGTGGTCCATAGTGGTCTGACTTCTGCTGTGCTCTCAGACTGGCCAGCTGGAGCCTCTGCTGTCACGGTTCACTGAGGAGGAAGAGCAGCAGATGAAGAGGATGCTGCAGAGGATGGATATACTGGCTAAGGTATGAGCAGCCCCCTGTGCACATGTGAGTGAGCGTGTGTGTGTGTGTGTGAGAGAGAGAGAGTGTATGGGGTGGGGTGCTGAACATCAGAGGCCTGGCCCCTGAGCAGAGGGAGGCATCATCCACCTCAAGCCATAGATTCTTCCTCCCTATGAACCTCTCAGAAAGCGAAGGAGGCAGGTGTACGGCTGATGATTGATGCTGAGCAGAGCTACTTCCAGCCAGCCATCAGCCGCCTGACCCTGGAGATGCAGCGCAGGTTCAATGTGGAAAAGCCGTTCATCTTCAACACATTCCAGTGCTACCTCAAGGTACAGCTATCCACCTCCTGCCTCCTCCCTGCCTATCCCCAGCGCTGGGCTACAGACCGTCTCGCAGGCAGTGTGATCCCCCTGCAGGAATATGCTTTTCTGTGGAGCCATGCACTATCTGTTTGGCCCTGCTTTATGCAGAATCCAGAGCAGCACAGGTAAAGGAGAAAACAGGCTCTGTCCTGTGGCCACTCTCACTCAAGTCTATGTGTGGTCTGGCAAGAAGCCCACCAACCTGAGTTTGATTCCTAAATCCCATGGAGCTGATTCCTCTTCCAAGGTGTCCTCTGATTTCCACCTGTGCCCTGCATGCCTTGCCCCCAAGTAATAACACAAATGCAAATAAAAGTATATGGGGCCCGAAGACAAGGAGCTCTTTCGGGATGTGCTGGGCCCTTCTGAAGACTTCATAGCTGACCCTGCCCATTATTTTCTAGCACAGGACCCTCTTAAGAATCAGAACAAAAGCAGCAGACTCCCCTGGAAGATTTGATAGGGCTGAAGAGATAGCCCCGAGAGCCCAGAAAATCCCCAACCCTAGCCCCTTAGCCTGAGGTTGCTAAGTTACTGGGAAGTCTCATGGGGACACACATCTTGTTAGGTACCAAGAGGACATGATGTATATGGGGCAGTTCCAGATAGGTGGCAATTTGCTCGTAACTAGCATGGTGACTCCAAAATACACAGTAACTCCAGGCATCTGGGCCGACCAACCAGAGGGCCATCTCAGGCTACACAGAGGAGACTGTTGGTGGCAGAGGTTGGAGGCCCAGCTTCATCCACATTTTTCTCCCAGATCCTGAGTAGCATATCTCCCAGCCAGTCACTGACTGGCCTAGGCACCTGAAGCTGGTGTCCACATGAAACAGGAAGTCCTCATGCTGCCACCAGTCAGGCTCCCTGTGACTTTGGGGCTTGGCCTTGCAGGATGCCTATGACAATGTAACCATGGATATGGAACTGGCTCGCCGTGAGGGCTGGTGTTTTGGGGCCAAGCTGGTACGTGGTGCATACATGGCCCAAGAGCGAGCCAGGGCTGTGGAGATTGGCTATGAGGACCCCATCAACACTACATATGAAGCCACCAATGCTATGTACCACAGGTGAGAGGCCTCCTGTGCTTTCTTGGAGCAATGCATGAGAACCTTGGCCCTGAGTGTGAGTGGCCCCGTTAGGCAGAAGCCAGCTTCCTGAGGGCAAAGGAGTGACCTTTTCTGCTGTTATGTATCGTTTTTCCAAAACACCACATCTCTCCTCTTGAATATGGAGTAGAGGCCTCTATGTTCCGTTGGCTCCTACAGACACATAAAACAAGATACAGCTCATGTACTTGAATGCTTGGCTAACATGCCTGAAGCCCTAGGTCTGAGCCCTAGCACCACATAAACTGGGCATAATGGTGCACACCTTTAATCCCAGCACTTGGGAGGAGGCAGGAAGATCAGTAGTTCAAAGTCATCCTCGGCTTCAAAGTGGGTTTGAAATCAGCCTGGGATATATGAGATGAGAGAGAGAGAGCCTCATCCCAGATGCCCGGCTTGCTGTATGTGGCTGGCTCAACCGAGCAGGTCCTCAGGCCCCTCGGCAGTCAACAGTGCACGCCTGTGCTTTCTGCTGATAATCTCTGGCATCTTCAGTGCAGTTCTGTACTGTGGAAAATGATCTCTGCTGCTGTGCTTTCAGTTTCGGATGAGTTTATTAAGCATATAGCAAGCAAAAGTAAACGAATAGACAGCAAATTACAGGTAGAGAGAAGCAGTAGAGAGAATAAACATTACCAAATCACGAGCTTGCAATGTTGAGCAGACAGCTGGAATAGGCCATTCAAGAGAGCAAACAAAAGGTAATGGCAAAGCGGGTGGGCACAGCAGAAATGACTCTCATGCAGAAGCCCCTGACAGAGAATTCTGGACACAGCCATGTTCTCTGCCTTTCCTACTATAAACATTTTATATTATGATAAGTGATGTCAACTTCTGTTGGAAGTCTTTAACTTCTAGCTTTTCTTGAGGACATCCCAGGCGCCTCCCTCCTTCCAGGCAGGAATGGCTCCCATACCACAGCTGGGGAGACCGGGTGCCATCCTCCTTTTTGAGGCTTTGGCTATCGTCACCACCACCTCCTCCATCTCCTCCTCCCCTCTTTGCTCCTCAGCCTGAGCTCCTGCAGAGCCAACAGGGGGTTCAGGTGGTGGTTGGCCTGGAGCCAAACTTAGGTAGGACTGTCCCTGTCCCAGGTGTCTTAACTATGTGCTGGAGGAGCTGACGCACAGCACCAAGGCAGAGGTGATGGTGGCTTCACACAATGAGGACACCGTGTGCTTCACTTTGTGCAGGTAGGTGCTGCAGCCTGCCATGCAGGGTGTTGGACAGCACCAGGGAGGCCGAGGTGGGATTTCATCAGTGGATGGCTGGCTCCCATGGAACAGTACCCAAGATGGTCCTCTGGCCACGCACATGTACATAGATGGGCACTAAAAGCACAGGCACATGAAATGCAATGTAATCCAGTCATGGCTGTAAATTTTCTACTAGCAGAGTTTAAAATGAAGTTATTTCAATATTTTTTGAGTCTTCAAATTGTTGATAGCGTTTGAAGCTATAGTCCACTTTCCATTCTGAGCAAATGGTGGCTGTGCAGACAGCACAGGAGAACAAGGCAGGGCTCGGGTGTCAGCCACTGGAGCAAAGGCTCAGAGTGCTCCGTAGGTATATGTGTGTATGTGTGCATACACCTGTACCCACGAACATACGTGTCCACAGAAGGGAGATGGAGAAGGGCTGTCAGAGGCAGTGGAACGGGAAAGGACAAGTTTGCTGCCCTAGATGTCCTTGTGGGCAGGGAAGTTGTACTGGGAAGACCTAGATAGCTAAAGCAGAGCCCACATTCCTGCCCCAGCCCCCAGGGGACAGTGGCTAGAATGTAGTTGAAGTGGGAGGGGCTGAGAGATACATCAGGGGGCCTGTCTCCTGGGGTGGATCTTTACCAGCCTGGCCCCTCTTCACAGGATGAAGGAGTTAGGCCTGCATCCTGCTGATGGTCAGGTGTGCTTCGGACAGCTGCTGGGGATGTGTGACCAAATTAGCTTCCCACTAGGTGAACTGGGTTGTCCTGGGAGGGTCTGTGGTGGCAGGGCACACCATCCTGTGTGGGGTCACTCATACTCCTGTGTATGTGCAGGCCAGGCAGGCTTTCCTGTGTACAAGTATGTACCCTACGGTCCTGTGATGGAGGTGCTCCCTTACCTGTCCCGTCGTGCCCTGGAGAACAGCAGCATCATGAAGGGTGCTCAGCGAGAGAGGCAGCTGCTCTGGCAGGAGCTCCGCAGGCGGCTGCGCACTGGCAGCCTCTTCCACCATCCAGCCTAGTCACTGCAGGAGCCATGTCCATACCTACTCCACTCAACCTGTCACCTCTGGGGCTTCAGGCAGGGCACAGCGTGGGGTTGGGCTGGAGTTCCTTAGTCCAACCTGCCCAGACACCATTCACCTTTTCATGCCCAAGCCTCTGAGGTGCTGAGGGCGGGGGGGTGAGAGGGTTGCCCTCTGGGACTTCCTGCACCCCTAGGTGCTGACTCTCAGGAATGGGGTCAGCTAGAGCCCCTGGGAGCTGCCCCACCAATCTTCTGAATAGGCACTGACCACCTCTGCAGGCTGCAGAGCACTAGTCCAGAACTAACCTGCCAGGGTCTGAGCCATCTTCCCTGCACTGGAGAGGACAGACTGGGAAGCCTGTTTAGTCAATAAATTGTCCTGTAACTGAGAGTTATCACCTTTCTCTTGGTACCTGCACACGAAGTCAGCTCTGAGCACCAGAGGCCATTCCAATCCAGACATTGGGGACACCTCTGCCAGGCTGCAGTGACACCCAACCACTTTTATTCCACATCCCAGACGCATTGGCTCTGGATGGCTGCAGGCGGCACACAGTGGGCCCTGGGGCCCAGCTCCCCTCCAACCCCTCTGTGCCCTTCACTCCAGTAGCTAAAGTCCTAGCTGAGTCTGTGCACACCTCTTCAGTTTCATATAGCAGTTTGGAGACTGTATTAATTAGGGACCTGACAAGGCCTAAGGGCTGGGCTGGAGTATCCCAGAAGGGCATTGTCGTATGGTGGCTGCCACTCTGCTGGCTCCAACATGGCCAGAGCCACTAGGAAAGGATCCTAGGTAGCACAGACACAAAACATGTCCTGGGTTCTTTATTTTCCTAGGCCATACCAAACTTGGGTTTTGGAGCTTCTTCCATCCAGGGCTGGGGCTGTCAAGGGAGGGGCTATACAGGAACAAGGCAAAACCCAAGCCTGGAGAGAATGTGGGATATGCCCAGAGGGGAAGGTGCTAGAACCAATATTCCTACTCATCATTCAGTCGTGGGGCCTTTTCATGACACCATTCCTATTGCTTGAACCCTTCCCCACTCAATCTGAACAGTAGATGGCAGCAGGCATAGCCAGGGTCTAATCAGCCCCTCAGAGAAAGCAGACCTGTTGGCAGCTGGACTGTCAGTAGCCCTCACATGGGCTGTGGCACCAGCCATCCTAGGCAATGGAGGACAGCAGGACCCCTACTTGGTCACAGTACTGCCTTCCCCACTTGGCAGCCCCTCTGCTGCAGCTTCCTGATGAGTTCCAGTAGGTTCATCTGTAGTGTCAGCTCCTGGGATATAAAAGAAGCCCACTAAGGACCAGCATGACACCTCATGCCCTTCTGCCTTGGCCTAAGACAGATGCGGGGCCTAGAAGATGACAGGTAATGAGGCTAAGGGGGGTGATTTCCTAGGGAAGCTGACCATGGCCAGAAGGGAGAACCTGGGCCTTTGTGCCTAGTAGTGCCAGCAGTCTCTGACTGACTTAGAGCGGAACAGGAGGCTGGCATGCTCACCTTCCTGGGGGCATAGGGACTAGACTCTGCCCTTCACAGGGTCTTTCACCTAAACTCTATCACTAGGAACCAATGTGCTAAGACTCCAGATGGACTTGAGATACTGACATACCAAGTTCAAGGCCATAGCAGACCTTGTCTCAGAAATGAATGAATGAATGAATAAATAAAAGCAAAACATCACCACCAACCAAAGAAAAGAAAACCTGAAATACAAGTTCCAGATTGAGCTGAACCTTCAGGGGTCAGAGACACAGGTTGTGATAGGGCTGGCTGAGGTGCTGACCTGAGGATTAGTGGTCACATAGAAACCAGCTACCCCTGCCTTCTCCAGTGTGCTCTGCTGGTCGGCAACCTTCCGGTCCAGTTCCAGGACAATCTTTCGGTCCATTGCCTGCTGCTCCTCCCGGATCCGATGTTCCATGGCCTGCCATGGCTTGAGTAAGCGTGGCTCCTGCTAGGGCTTCCACCCAGCGATGCCATAAACACAACCTGCAACTTCCTCCTGGCTGCCCTGCCCACCACAGTGGTTCTGGCTACAGGGTATCCTTGCTTGTAGCTCAGCAGGGGGCTCCATAAGGCTCTCCCACAGCCCCAGCTGGAAATGCCTTTGAAACCTGTCATTCAACCCTTGGAGCCACCAGTCTCACTCCCAACACCAAGGCTTGCTGATTTCCTGGGGGTCTACATCTGACCCTGAGCTCCCTGGTAAGATAGGCCTCTCCCTGACTGGTCTTCTCATCCCAACACTGCGCTTCATCACCTGAGACAAAAGGGACAGTGTCCTGACTCAGTGACTGCTTTATGCAGCTCCACAGAGATGCTTGTTTGCCAGGACAGGGGAGTGACAGATGGGTTGTGACTCTCCTCTTAGCTAGGGCACACCGCAGGCACCGTGGGGACAAGTCATGAGCTGGAACTCACCAGACCTCCAGCACCCATTAGCTCAGCTTCTGAATCACCCTCTGCCCCACCACCGAGCCAGCTAGTACCCATGAACAGTCAGGTCCAGCCCCACCCCGAGCCAGCTAGTACCCATGAACAGTCAGGTCCAGCCCCACCACCGAGCCAGCTAGTACCCATGAACAGTCAGGTCCAGCCCCACCCACCATTGAGCCAGCTAGTACCCATGAACAGTCAGGTCCAGCCCCACCACCTAGCCAGCTAGTACCCATGAACAGTCAGGTCCAGTCCCACCTCCTAGCCAGCTAGTACCCATGAACAGTCAGGCCCAGCCACACCACCGAGCCAGCTAGTACCCATGAACAGTCAGGTCCAGCCCCACCACCTAGCCAGCTAGTACCCATGAGCAGTCAGGTCCAGCCCCACCCATCATTGAGCCAGCTAGTACCCATGAACAGTCAGGTCCAGCCCCACCCACCATTGAGCCAGGTCCAGCCCCACCACCGAGCCAGCTAGTACCCATGAACAGTCAGGTCCAGGCCCACCACCGAGCCAGCTAGTACCCATGAACAGTCAGGTCCAGCTATCCCATCCCAACTCCTACCTCCAACTCACGCTGCTGAGCTGCCTGGAGCACTGGCAAGTTGTGAGGCCGGCAGGACTGCTGGGCTTCCAGATGCTTTTGCCTCAGAGTCTGTCTGAGCACTGGGAGGGAGGGAGGAAGCAAGAGCATTCGTTGGGAAGACTGGGGCAGCTGGGCAAGAGGTCTAGTTCAAGGGTTTCTAAGGAAGCCCTTCCTGGACAGATGTGGGGAGTTTTAGTCCCTGAGACTGCTCTCAGCCAGCACCCTTCTTCACCTCCACGGTGCTGACAGGACTGTGTAAGTTAGGTACAGCAAAGAACAGAGCTCAGTATACCCAGGGCAGGGATAGGACACAGAGGTGCCTGAGGCAGGTGGTCTCTGGGCTCAGGTGATCCAGTTCTAGCTGTGCTATCTTAGACATCCTCCACAGGACATCACGCAGGAATGGGTGAATACTTAAGTATTCAAGAGACAAAAGCCTATAAGAGGAGGAAGGGGCTCTGTCTGCCAGCAGTGCAGTGTGTCAAGTCAAGCTTGGTGCTACCCTACAGGTAAGCAGAGCAGCCCCTGCTTGGCAGCCAGGAGGCGAAGTGGGGTACACAGGCCCATACTGTGAGCCTGCAGGGTTCTATGATGGGAAGTCCTTACCCTCTGCCAGGAAGCAAGTACCTGGTTCCTGGTAAACTGCTACACACATAGACATGTACAAACCATCTGCCCTCATGGGAGCACAGGATGATAAGGAGTCACTATCACAAAATGGAGTACACCAAACCTGTCAGAGCATAAAATGGGAGTGTGGCTGGCCGGTTCTGAGAAAGCCTAACATTTACTCCTAGAAGAGACTCATGGGACAGCTCTATTCAGAAGGGTCCCTGAGGTTCCTTTAAATCCAATAGCCTCAGCAGTGCTTACAGCTTCCTCTAGGTCTTGGCATTTTATGTACCTCAGTGATAGCATTTATCATTGCTGTTTGAAACTGAGTCTATCATAAGTCCATCAACACAAAGGCAAGAAAGAGCTGGCCTGACTGTCTGGCTGCAGTGACTATGAAGTAGGCACATGGCTCGGGGCAGCAGGCACATGCGTGAGACATCATCTCCTTCAGTCCACTCATCCAATACTGAAAAACATCCCAGGTCAGTTCCCAGAGTCCACACTGGCTACCCGCTCACAAGGGGCCTGGCCACGGTAATGTCCAAGGAAAGCAAGGTAGCCCATGCCAGCCACCATCTTCTGGATGTGGCTGAAGCCAGCAGCAGTGCTCACTGCCAGGTGTACTAGCCTAGTCCAAGCCTTCTGAAAGACAACTAGCAAAGTCTTGAAGCAGGTACTAAGAGCATCCCACCCCAAAAGGGCTCTGTAGGATAATGGCCAGCTCCATAGTGACATCAGGGGAAGAAGCAGTCGGTGAATGCCTTTCTTCCTGGTGACGGAAGCAAGTGCTGGAAGAATGCTGGAGTCAAAAGAAGGAGCCAGGCAAAGCCGCCTCCTGTTCACTGAAAAGACTGAGCAAGGCAGGCGGGGCCTGGCCCAGACGTGAAATCCCACCAATGGAGAGGCTGAGACAGGAGGACAGCCAGCTCTGGACAACACAGAGGGGCAGTCTCAGAAAACCAAAAGGGAAAAGAATGAACTGAGTTGTGTACTTTAGACTTGTGAACTAGATACTCCATATACCTCAATCAAAACATTAAAAAGAATAAAGAAAAGCAAAGTCATTCAAACATTTGGTGAAGAAATAAAGCCCTTGGAAAACAAGAGACTTCTTAACACATGCTGAGGCCAGCACTGCCTTCATCCCACAAAAATCCTACAAAAAAACTACAGGCTGTTGTATATCAGAAATAAAGGCAAAAACCCCAAAACTTTTCATGAGTCAAGTTCACTAGACAGGATGGGACACAACTCAGGAAGACGAGCATGCATCCCCAGCACCCATGTCAAAAGCTGAGCACAGCAGCGTGCAAAGACAGGCTGATCCCTTATGGCTCACTGGCCAGCCAGCTACAGGATCAAACCACTGAGCTTCAGGTTCGGTAGCTCAAACATTCCAGAAGTATAGGAAGACATCCTGGGCTGTGTGGGCTAGTTTTATGTCAACTTGAGACAACCTCCAGTCATCTGAGAGGAGGGACCTCAATTAAGAGAATGCTGCTAGGGGGCTGGAGAGATGGCTCAGTGGTTAAGAGCACTGACTGCTCTTCCAGAGGTCCTGAGTTCAAATCCCAGCAACCACATGGTGGCTCACAACCATCTGTAATGAGATTCGATGCCCTCTTCTGGTGTGTCTGAAGACAGCTACAGTGTACTCATAAATAAAGTAAATAAATCTTTAAAAAAAAAAAAAAGAGAATGCTGCTATAAGGCTGGGCTGTAGGCAAGCCTGTGGAGCATTTAAAGTGATCAATAAGGGAGGGCCCAGCCCATTGTGGGTGGTGCCATCCCTGGGCTGGTGGTCTTGAGTTCTATAAAAAAGCAGGCTGAACAAGCCGTAGGGAGCAATCTGGTAAGCAGCACCCTTCCATGGCTCTGCATCAGCTCCTGTCTCCGGGTTCCTGCCCTGACTTCCTTCAATGATGAAGTGATGTCGAAGTGTAAGCCAAATAAACCCTTTCTTTCCAAGCTGTGTTTAATCATGGTGTTTCAACACAGCAATAGTAACCCTATCTAGGACACCATGCCTACCTCCAGCCTCCACAAGCATGAACACACAAGTGCACACATACATACATGTGTACACACCTATGTGAACACTACACATAAACACATACAACTAAACAACATACATAAAAGAACAATGTATCATGACCACACAGGATGCAGTCCCAGAATACAATTGACTTCTGGAATTTAGAAATCATTGTCTTACGGGAGTAACAGAAAAATCACCTGATCATCTCCACAGGAACTGGAAAAGGTTTCAACAAAATCTAATGCCTATCTCTAACGGGGAAATCCTGTCTAGCAGCACACAGGCGTTGCCAGAAAGGCAGTGTATGTTTGCCTGTAAATGTAGCTCAACACAGAAAACCTGCTTAGCGGGTTAGAGGCCCTGGGTTCAGGCCTGAGTATCCAAAGCAATAACAAAGCCCAACGAGCTATAGTGTAGTCTTAGTGGTGAGAATGGGGACATCGTCATATTATTCTTTCCTGAAATGTTTAAACCGAGTCAAGCTTGAACAAATAAAATGCAAGGGAGATCTGATGGTACACGGGAGATGCCTAGTATAATTTATAGGAGGAGGTGATCAAGCCTGATACTCAAATGGGAAGGTGCTGGAATAACGGATTATCTAACCGGTAACAGAGCTATCAATGGTCCTACAAGCAGCGAGGTCCACCATGCATAGGAGGCTGTGGGCACTCTAGGGAACGCGAGTAAGAAGTTTCTGGACTGCAGACTAAAAGGATCAGCATGGCTCTGCACCCCTGACCCGAGGCTCCTGAGGCTAGGGACGCCCTAGGAAGGTCCCGCCGACCCCTTGCACCTCTGTGTTCGTTCTGCAGCCGCAGTCGCTGGTTGTAGAGGCTCTTCTCCGTGAGGTGCTGGATCTCCAGAAGCCCTTGCACGATCTCAAACACCGTTCCGTCGAGCAGCGCCAGGGCCAAGTCGCTGAGCGTGGTGTAGGACAGACGCTGCTGAAAGGAACTGCGGGTAGACCGCCGGGTGAGCGCGGCCCCGGCCCCGGTCGCAGCCGCGGCCCCGGTCCTCCCGCCGCCCGCCGCCACGCACCTGGGCAGCTCCTTGACCAGGCTCTGTAGCGCTGACAGCAGTTGGTAGTGCCGCTCCTGCTGCCGGGCCCGGTCCGCCGCCTCGTCCCCGGCACCCGCGTAGCGGTCCATAGCGCGGTCCCCCGCCGCGCCCGGGAGTCGGTCTCACAGCGTTCCCCGGCGCGCCCCGCCCCCTTACGTCATTCTCCAGCGCGGATGACGCATGCGCCCCACCCCTCCGGTCCGTCTCCGCCTCTCGGCGCGCTGCGTCACACATACTAAGATGCGCCCCTCCCCTCTGGGGAGACGTCTAGTAAACGCTGTTTGTCCTAGGGAGGTGTAGGGGCGCGCTGAGCTCCCATGTGGAGCTGGGGCGCGCTGAGCTCCCATGTGGAGCTGACCTTCGAGGTACGCGCCCAGGGTGCTGCAAACTGATGTTTTAAAGAAGCCAGCCAGGCCTGCGCTTAGTGTGCGTAGACTGAGGCCACTGGAGGCCGGACACTGCCAGCGAGTTGTACTCCACCTTGGGGACCTCAGGAGAATTCTAGAATTACATTCCCCAAAGTGCCATCTTTTTTCCTTTTATTATTACTATTTTTAAATAAAACTCTGTTGAAGCATCCTGGTTACTTTCTTTTTGTCTTTCCTTTTGCCATGATAAGCTCTGAAGTAGTGAATTCAGATCTGGGACCTTATAAATTACAGTGAAGAAATCTTGTGAAGTTAGAATGCAAATGACCCCATAGCGTCAGATATTTGGAAACTTGGTTCCCAGTTGGTGGAATTATTGAGGAAGGATTAGGTGAGGCCTTGTTGGAGAAAGTCACTGAGGGCTGATTTTGAGATTTTAAAACCCACACCATATTCATATTCTCTCTCTCTCTCTCTCTCTCCCTCCCTCCCTTCCTCCCTCTCTCTCCCTCTCTCTCTCTGTGTCTGTCTGTCTGTCTCTTGTCTCATCACTACCACTATCACCTCATGCTTATTTATAGATTAAGATGTAAGCTATCAGCTACTGCCCCAGGGCCATGCCTGCCTGGCTGGTGCCATGCTCCCTGCCAAGATGGTCCAGGAGTCACCTATTGAAGCTATAAGACCCCAATAAAACCTTCTCTAAGTTGCCTTGTTCATGGTGTCCGCAGCAGCAATAGAAAAGTCACTGAAACACCTGTACATGAAGAAGTAATTTGCATGAATAAATATACTCCAAAGTAACTGTAATTTAATGTTGACAGTATACCAAATTATGGTGAATCATTTAAAACATACATTTAAAAGTCACGATCTGCAGCTGGGGCTGTAGCTTAGTTGGTAGAGCGTTGCCTAGCATTCAAGATGCAGTCGGATTCTGTTTGCAGTACCACAGAAACCAGGCATGGTGGTGCATGCCTGGAATCCCAGTACTTAGGAACTGCAGGCATGATCAGATGCTTGGGGTCTTCCCTGGCTTCATAGTGAATCCCAGGCTGGACTGAGATGCAGTATACCCTGGCTCTAAAAGAAGGTCATTAAATGTTCACATACTCAACTCTGATATTGAAGTTTTAGCACACTGATTAAGACACAAACTAACAGAACCCAAACAGGGACACATGCCTGAGACACATAGTATTAGTGTATACCCTACAATGTCCTGTGACAGCTGAGAGCTGAGTCACAGATGACAGCCTATGACAGCTGAGAGGATGAGGGCTAGAGCAGTCATAGTACCGTGCCATCTGTGATAGCACATGACAGCTATTGGAAGATACATGCCTCTACCATATCATGTCACTAAGTCATGTAAGTGTCATATAACAGCTGGGAGAAGGGATGGAGACTGTCATATTACATAATGACTTCCCACAGTGACCCAGAGGAGGATCCAGCACTGTGTTGTGTCACATCAGGCATATATGGCACCTTAAATGGTCAGGAATGGAGGCTAGAGTTAATAGTCTTTTACCCTGTTACTTAGTAAGACAGTTCAGGGGTAGCATACAGACAATGAGCCAGTCTGCCATAGGGATGCTATGACATCATCTGTGATATTGTAATGCCAGGGCTGCAGTCTATCCTTATGGGAATAAAGAAAGTGTTTATTATCAGCTGTTATACCAAGGAGGCTGTAAGCATATCAGGTCTGTGTCTTCACCCTACATAAAATAAAATGTCATGCACAATATGAGCTGGGATACAGGATATATGTGTGTGTGTGTGTGTGTGTGTGTGTGTGTGTGTGTATCACACTGTGTATCAGCTGAGAAGAGAGAGGCAGCAGTCACATGTCACATGTCACTGTGTAACACATGATGTAACCTGACAACTGAGAGAAGGCTCAAATTGGCTTGCACTATGTTACATACAATATCTGACAACTGAGGCACACTTTTTTGTCACTTTGTGTCACTACATAAAACATCTAATATCTAATGTTTATCTAATAATTATAAGACAACCCGGAGAGGGACCAGACCTTGATTCATAATGTTACAATGTTACTGAGGATGTCATGTAATATCAAAGACCATAAACCTCAGCTGCATTATGTCACTGTGGAATATACTAAACTCTGCAGTGATCTAAAGAGAGGACATGCATCTTATTCATGTCTAAGTACATCACAATGTCACGTATGTATCACACAGTTTATGGGAGAAGACTCAATCAGCACTCACCTTAGGCTGTGTTGTCATGTGATAGCAAGGGTAGGTGCATTAGAACACTGTGAAGAGCAGGACAGCTGTTAGTGGGAACGTGGACACTAAAGGCACACTTGGTCACTGTGTGTTATGAAATACCATACAGCAGCCAAAGATAGTGAAAAGGCAAGTCGTGCTGTGTCATTGGTTTGTGTACATATGACTAGTCTCTATACTGACAACATCAGGGTTCCTGAATGACTCAACGCAGGTTACATATATGAACGACTGTGTTCAGCAGTATACAGTGTATGGAAGATGTTGGTCATAAATGTGTGTGCGCATGTATTATACACATATAAATAGCTACATGCATATATATCTAGTTTGTGTTTAAGTACATGAGTGATTGAGATTGAAGCACTGTGCTTAGAAAGATACAGTTTCAATACTGCCTTATGTATGTATGTATGTATGTATGTATCTATCTATCTATCTATCTATCTATGTATTATGATACAGGGTCATTGTGTATAGCCCTGGCTATCCTGGAACTCACTATGTAGCTCAGGCTAGCCTGAGACTCACGGAGCTCCTTGGGTCTCTGCTTCCCAAATACTGTGTTTAGCAGCATTTCCCACATTAGTCAGGGAACTTCACCTCAGCCCTGTGGATCATTATGCTCAGCATGGTTCATCTGATACTGTCCATCCAGACAGGTCTCGACTTTGTGTTTATTGAAGGGCAGATTTCTGAATGACTTTATGTTGCACTTTCTCTATGAAACCAGCCTCACAGAAGGTGGTGTGGGTCCTGAGTCTTCGTGTACAAGACTGCCCGAGCGGAACACTGACTTGAGGTGATGCTGTGTTTCCAAGTTTCCCACAGTGAGCATCACTAGACTTAGCTGACTTAGGTGCCATTGTTATCTCAGAGGAACAGTGTATTTAGCTATGTGTGGTGCACATAATGCATACTTTGGGGATGTGCTTTAATTTTCTTTAACAGCTTGGCGTGTGAACAACAAAGCATGTTATCATCTCTGAGAAAGACTTTCTTGAGCATTGTACACTGCATGTATCATTTTGTTGAATGACAGTTGTTTTAAATGCTACCTACCAGATGTATGTGCATGAGTTACAGAATCCCAGGCTCTGAGAGTGGTTTCCAGTGGATGATAACACAAGTGTCCAGTGTGTGTCAGCCGCTCCTCAGCTGGACCAGAGGCCTCCAGAGGCTTCTGGGTGGGCAGCTTGTGATCTGGAAGGTGTAGGTTGCTGTATTTCAAGTGCTGTAAGAGGGAAAAAGCCAACCAAGAATACTATATGCAACAAAATTTTCATTATACTGGAGATGAAATTGAAATATTACTAGTTGGGGATGCAGCTCAGTGGTAAAGCACTTGCCTACTGTCTTAGTCACTGTTGCTATGAAGACACAATGACCAGGGCTACTCTTATAAAAGAAAACATTTAACTTGGGTCTTGCTTACACTTTAGTCCATTATCCTTATGGCAGGGAGCATGGTGGCAT